TCGGTCTGTGGATAAATCGAATCAGGACCAGACAATCCAGTGATTGACATCATAATCATCGATCTACGCAATTCAGATACGATTATATTCAGTCGCCGAACCTTGTTACTCTATCCTGCTTGTCCCCGCTTACGACAAGCGTGTAACAAAAGGTACGTGATTATGAAATATATATATCAATACCAATTATTGGAACTACGATACGTGTTGACGACAAAGATACTATGCAAGAATGTTTATGTCTGTAATATGAACACCAAGACACATCCTATAGATTTAACGTGCCCCAGGCAGTAGCAACAAACAAGTGTGTAGGGTGTCATTCCTGATTTTAACTCTTTCAAGGAAAGTCGATTAATCTGTGTGGACCATTATTTGTAAGTCTTATCATACAGTTGTGATCTACTTGATTTCATTCATTGTTTGTGTATGAACTAGCGATGCGCGTCTCGATTGGCTTGCTGGAAACTGACGGATTTTTTTTAATCCAACATGTTGACGATCGTCAACGTTCAGGGCGTCCCCGGTCTACGAGTAGAGTACAGGATCGATTGATCCGAAACAAGGCTCTACCAAATCGAGCCCCAGCAGCCAATCAAATTGCTGTAAATTTCCATCAGGCTGCTGGAGTACAGGTTGCAGGTCAGACGATTATAAATCGTCTACATACAGCTCATCTTCATGCTCGACGGCCACGTTTTGTGCCTCCCCTTAGAAATAGTCTTATTGTCAACATACGTCAATGGTGTACATGACGTCGAAACTGGGGTTATCGTCGCTGGTCACGTGGCATGTTTTCAGATGATAGGCGTGGTCGTGTCTGTCGACGTCGAAATGAACGTCAAGCCAATGTCAACCTGAGATCTCCTGACAGATTTGGCGGTGGTTCGATTATGGTTAGGGGTGGCATTACTAGGACTGAAAGAACTCCACTCCATAGTGTGCAAGAAAGGGTCACTTGACGTACTATCGGGACAATATACTGACGCCCTTTGTTGTCCCGTTTGCAAGACGAATGGGTCGACGTTTTGCCTTTCAGGACCACAACGCCCTTGTTCACCGAGCAAGTATCATTAATGCTCACCACCACCAACACAACATTCATGGAATGTGTATCGTAATGGTATTACTCGAGACTTTTTATTTAAGGAAAGGATAATCGAAACTAGTATCCAGAACAAAAGTCTTCATAAACAGCTTGGTTTTTACTTTTATTTTGAACTAGATAAAGTTTTCAAAACTAATACAGCCTCAAAACTTGACAAATCAACTGTAAACATTACAGGCAGCATGGAATTCCAAAAATATTCAACTTCCGGTCGTTAGAGTTATCATTCCCTGAAGCGTTGTAAAATCATTGATAAAAAAGATACTGTGAGCTGCGAAATGCATCAACAATTAAAAATGTCTTCGCGGAATTATTTCAGTTGTAATTCCAATACAGAATGCAAGCAATGAGCCATGCCTGATCTTTGCAACTTTGAACACATCTCAGAGATGATAGGGAGACGTGCGTCAAAGTCATAGGCCGCTCACCACGTTGGCCTAACTTGGCCAGGGACATACTCCCTCAAATACGCTTGATGCCTCGTCGAGTGAATGAATGTTTGACGCGCTACTGATCCAAAAACGTCAACTTTTGAAATTTCCCATCTTACCCCTTTTGTCCTTCAAGATTGTTGGCAGTCATAGCATCTACTGTCATACTTCACTATCGGTTGTGATGTGTTCCTAATTCGTTCATTACTATCCTACAACTATATGTATTACTAGAAACTATTATCTCATACAATTTTGGAAGTTTTAAGCTACTTCCGAGTATCCCCGACGTTATTTAAAGAGTATAGCACATTAAATGTTTTGTTAAGGGAATACGCGCAAGAGTCGAGCTGAAGACATGTTGCTGGACCAATTGCTACTACTTTACCTTTCGTCAATATTTACATGAACATTTTTCTGTTAAAATATAAGCCTGATGTCTAAGGTGGTTTCATCCGCGCGTTGATGCTTTTCGAAACACTAATAATCGTTGTTTATGCTATCAACTACTGGCCCAAACTCTTCACAGGCTATCATGACTAATTATATACATGTAAGGTGGAATAGGGCTCACTGGATCCTTGATTTCCCAGTGCATCAAGTCTCAAAACAATCATGCCAAGACTCCTGGACCCATTCTGCTCTAGCTTCGTTTGGAAGTGACCAGCTCCATCTATCTTATCATTAACTTTTCAGAGTGTTATTTGGTTGGACGGCTGGCTATTTGTCGTGTACGAAGTCATACGAAGTGAGACGTCAGAGCTATTGATTATTATAAAATTGAGATATAATGCTTTTGTTCAGCTAGGATGATGACTTTCACTTAATTAATCCCTCGTAAAACATTGCACTGTGAGTACGTTTTCCCCGAGTTAAGTCAATCGTTCACTGGTCTTGGGACATCGATAGCTTTCTTCTACAAAATCTTACAACCAATACTGAACATTAATAACGTATCGTGTGTATGTATTTAGAAGAATCCATACACTTAAACAGGCGAAGAGGGCGATGATTGAGTTTGTGGAGGAGGGGGTGATAGAAGGAGAAATATTTTGAAAAACTGATGTTTCTGATACGCAGTAAGTCTTTAAGATTGCGACTTCAGCTCCACCGAGTCGTATTCTCATAACTGATCAAATATGTGTACTGATGTATGATACTTTATACCTATCAGATAATTAAGGAACGTCTGTTGGTGGGTCAGCCGTGGATGATCCATGTTTAACTAGGTGTAGGCGTCTTCGTACAAACACACGATTTTAAATCAAAACGAAGAATTTGAATCTGTACAGAGAAACTGAGACATGTTTTATTACCGTTTTATGAGTGTACATGCAGTGTATTTTATTACGCACCTGTTTGAGATATTACTGTTATATTACATAAACATACACCTGTATTACACATTGTATAATATCACGTGCGGGCAGGACTAAAAGTTTGGTTATCAGCTGATCATTCGAATGGAGGCGTCGGTAGCACAGTGCAACTGTACACAACATTTACCCTGTTCCCTGTCAATCTATACCCGATGGACACTACTGATTTTCACGAAAACTCAGAGATTTATAGGCATATAATATGTATGCATCTCAAAACCCGCTGTATTCTGTATTGTATTTTGAGTTTTTGCAACTGTCTATGATCTATTGTAATAATCGTTTGAAATGGAGAGAGTTGCACTCACTGTTGTACGAAACTGGTTCAGAACATAACTGATAAAAAAACCAACTTTTATCGAAGTATGATAACAACAATCATCGCCCCTTCTACTTGCGATCTTGAACTTCATAATACAAACAAAACTAGCCCCTTCTTGAACCAAGTTGACAGTAGTTACAAATGTCGTCCTCATGGCAAACGATGCAATCCATTGTCGCGAATCTTTGTGCGCCGTTATTGGTATTGCTTAACAGTAATTACAATTTCATAATATATAATATAAGACGGTCCTGCCCTACCGGTAGCATCCTCCATTCACAAAACAATCTGCTGACTCTCATGAAATGATATGACTCGATCATCTATCAAGCTCCCCTTACCTATACTGAATGAGTTTGATGCTATATTTTCCGTTGAATGCAGATGTTTAAAACTTAGTAATGTTATGTATATTTTGTTTGTTTGTTTGTTTGTTGTTTAACGCCGCACTCAGCAATATTCCAGCTATATGACGGCGGTCTGCAAATAATCGAGTCTGGACCAGACAATGCAGTGTTTAATATCATGAGCATCAATCCACGCAATTGGGATCGATGACATGCATCAACCAAGTCAGTGGGCCTGACCACCCGATCCCGTTAGTCGCCTTTTACGACAAGCATAGTCACCTTTTACGACAAGCATGAGTTGCTGAAGACTTATTCTACCCCGGAATCTTCACGGGTCTAATGTTATGTATAAATGCTATCATGAACAAGATATTAGAGCCAGCACATAGTGTTTCTTATGCTCCATCTTGGAGAAAGCTGCGTTTCTAATGCCAGATGGCACGTTGAGAGAACTGTCTATGGTCGAATGTTGCAAGAACTATTCCCACAAACACCATAAATATCGGCTAAAACCAGAGTTCGTTGTACGCCTTCGTCATAAACACATAAGAAGGCAAAACAGTTGTTTACCCGAAGAAGAGTCAAGATACGGAATCGCATCGGACATTATGTTTCTCACTTCAGCCTCAAACTTAGAAACGTCTTCCGTATGTCTCCCAAAAACGTATAAATAGTATATATCCACCATAAAGGTATAAATAGTATATATATCACAGGACCATGCAAGTGTTTGCTTGTTACCGCTGCAGTCAGAGCTGTTAAAGCAGTTTGTCGGCGGCCTGTGAATAATCAGTAACCAAACAAGTGGTTCATATTATGTGCAAGGTCCCATGCCTACGGTGTATGATGCATGACGTGCAAACATCCTAGCCTGACTACAGGACCCAATATATCTCATAGGTTACTGGGGAGCTACTCTGACCCACAATAGGGTGACAACCTTGGTTGTTGTGATGTTCGGAAAGCCAAATAGGCATTGCATGTACAACTTGCATCCTACCATGGAGATCTCTTTTGAGAAAGGACAGATTTTGTTTTATTTGTTTGATTTACTTATTCAAAAACATTGTGTAATTACAGCTATAACAGTTATATAAACGACGGTATAACTTTAACGTGATATGACTCAAGACAGACGATGTTTACATTAATGCGTAGTGTCGGCGAATACCTCATATTGTGAAGATGTATTGCGTGTTTCCTAGCTTCGAGAACTTTCATGTAGTCTCACGATAGACAGATAATCAAGGCTAGACAGACGCCTTATATTATTCAACAAGTTACCGAGCCTCACTACCAGATACTCTTAATTGTCTGTTATAAGTATGGGTTACTTGGAACAAGATCTACATCAGATCCCCAAATACATTGGGACACGATAAATTTAAAAAAACAAAACACACTGTTTAAGTACTTGTCTTTAATCAATTCTATGAAATACACATGATCAAATCCATTTGTAAGATATTGAACACAATTTGCAACTGCCACTGCAGCTAGAAAGTTGGATAACATTTACTCTGTGTCAGTAGTCACTCGGAGAGAGGCCCACGTCATCAGTAACATGTTATCAAAGGCCGAAATGTTATTAGAGATTTTGTCTTTTTAGCTGCAGTGAACCAACTTTATCCCGTAACGAATTTTCGCAGTTAGTGATAACGAGAATCAATATTCTTAATTGCCTGTTATAAGTATGGGTTAATTGGAACAAGTTCTACAAACTGATAGTTAATGAAACACTCACAACAAACCTATGCAAGCATTTTGATTGAAAATTTGTAAACTGAATGCTCATATTCTCTTGCGCATCCTTGACGCGTAACTTTCCCTAAAACAATCATTAATCAAAGAAATATAACTGATTTAAGACAGTTAATTAATTATGTTACGATTACATACATGTATATCAAATGTTATCTCATGATCAAATGCTTTCTAGTTGTCCATGAAAGTAGGCCCATCTCACACAATGTGTGCCCAGGTGGTGATCCAATACGATGCAAGTCCGATGATCACACAGTAGGCTGACATTCTCACAACGACCGCACCTGATATGAACACAAAATGGACATTGATGTAACAAAATGAAAACAATGAAACATTTAAAAACCTATATAACTAATTCTTCCTCACCGAAAAACGGAAACTAGAACTGGGTTTTAAACCAAATGTCTTTTCCCTCGAAATACGACCTTGAATCCATATTCATATTTGAATATTTTTCACTTTTGACGAAATAAGGTATACATACCAGGTGAGTGATCAAGGCAGCTATAGATACATAGCTCACAGTATTGGCAAATATCAGCTGAAGATAAAGGATGATCATGAACGGATTAGGGTATACGGTAACTGCAGAGACTGTGGGTCGACTCACTTGACTAGCGAACGCTTAGTTCCTTAACAACAAAATTAGATTGCAGCCTAATCAAGACCGAATCGCGCCATCCCACAAAGCGACCTTACCGGGTGAGACGATCGTTACTCCGTATTTTAACACAGAGTTACAAGACAGTCGTTGCGTTTCCAATGTGATTCCAATGGTGTAACAGTCGTGATCAAAACTGGAAACAATTATTATCTTCCGACTCAGAGAGACTTTCTAAACAACACTGCATCGAGTTTATGTGCAACGTATTGAGAAAAACAAGAACCCCACAGTTCTTCGTTTGGATGAAGTCAATGTGTGATTTTGCATCAAAATGTAAACAAGAAATGTAGATTATGCAATGAATTTTTTTTACACTTAGTCACTGGAATTTTGCCAAGCTTTGGCACAAACACAGTATCTTAAGTGACATGATGGAGTGGCTCGATCATTTTATTACCGTCTTCGCCATGCTTGTGGTTTTGACACAACAGTCCATTTATGGTACGACCATGAATATGTAGAGGGCGTCATTGAAAATGATCAATACAAAATTCTTTGGAATAGGCCAGAATTCAGCCTCAAACCTCATCTTGTCCTTTTTTATAAATCCAATGACATCGTTTATATTATTTAATTTTCTATCCCTTTTGACACTAATGTGATTGATAAGATTCAGGAAAAACATTGCAAATATATGCAAACCTCGCTTTCAAAATTTCGAAATTTCCCAAGTACCAAGTTGTTCGACTCCCAATAGTTCTCGGTGCCTTAGTTTCGGTACCTCCAAATCTGTTGACTGACATTTGGAGAGTACCCGGGTTTGCTGCCAAGAATAGAGCCCTTCTGGTAATGCAGAAAGCTGCAGTGTTGGGGGAGTCGTCACGTAATAGTATAAGCACTTCCATCTCCAGGACTAATACTCAAGGAAATATCTTTTCAAGGTAATTCGTAGTTGTCTTTTGATACGTTGAATACTCATCTATGTATTTCAGGGCTAGATTGTACGAGGCAGATGTAGATCGCTTTCAAAAGCGTCACTTTGATTGGTTGTTGATATATGGAGATGGTAACGTCATTTACCAAACTAAGCTGAAATGGCGTAGGGATCCATGGAATTTATTATAAGAAGATTAAGATATCATACACTTGATAATCGGGGATGATGCAGAAAAGTACATTTGTTTACTTATTCTAGATTTTGATTTAATTTGAAAGGAAAACAAGTATGTTTTGAAATAAACTGTTTGAAATATGCACTCATTTTGTATACAGATCTAAACATGTACAATGTTAACATTCAATTATTATTAGCATGTTTGAACACTATTTGAAACTGGTTTGTCTGATACATGGAACCCTTTAATTCTCATTATACTTGAAATTCATTTAGAAAACATAATTTGGCCAGTGAGAAAATGCTGGAAATTGCAACATTCACATAATACACTTGCGATGTTCCTAAAACGTTGTGGATGAGAAATTTGATATCACGACACTATGTTAACTTGAAGTCGCTTACCATTCTCACATGTGTCCCCTGTGTATCCACCAGTAGCGGTACAGTCGCATACGGCTGGAGATTTCTTAGTGTCACAAGTGCCGCCATGCAAGCATTCATTACCACTGTCTGTGCATTTAGATGTTGGGGGAGCTGAAATATATTTTCATTAAAAATATCCTACATTCAAAATATCTACAGAATGTTCCCAATTGACTTATTATTCGTCATATGGATAAATATCAAGACAACTTTGCAAGGAGCCAACTGAATCAGTTGGTCCTCACATCGTACGTTCATTCGTAAATCTATCATATCTCGTGCCTGAGTACGGTTTATGCTATCTTTATTCAATATACCAACCATATTACGTGGAAGAAAAACACCGTGTTCTCGACAATAGTACCCATGTTGTAATTCCTAAATATGTACCCTCGGTGTCAAGGCTTCAATCTCTCTGCTACAACACTGCACCTTATGTTTGACTCTATTTAGGAGATAAACTTTTGAAATTTGAGGTGGTCTTACTATGAATTAGATGCCTTTTCCTCTAATTTCAAATCCAGCGCTTATGCTCGAGGTTTAAAATTAATAAATAAGAGATATCTGCTCTACAGTTAGACCACTTCAAATTTCAAAATACAGTAGGTAAATTATCTCCATTTTACGAACGGCGCTTCGAAAATGGTGCTTTCGTGGTCACTAAATTAAAGAAATAAACGTCCATAGATATATATTTAACTTTATAGCAACCTGTTGCATATTTCCAAAGCTTAAACTCAATCAAGTCATTTCTTGGAAATCAATATGACACCTTCCATTGTAGGGGCGACAGGTTACAGAAATAGTGAAGAAACCACTGAGCTGATCTGTTTCTCAAACAAACTACAAACTCACAGTATTTTAGTTGTACTTATATACCAGTTGAAGTACCAGTAATTCGTATTCAGACTGACTCTCTCCCCAATTCAAAGTAACGGTATTACTTATACAGTAATACATAAAACCAACAGGACCACCCTGAACTAATACGATTTGCTCGCATCATGCTACATGAGAGTGTATGAGAGACTGCTCAATTTTGTGACAGATGATTGTGTGGCCCTGACATAGTGGTTAGCGTGTGTTTTACCTCATTGTATGTGTTCTGAAATCGATTTCGTCATGTTTAATAAGCTGTCGTTCTGATAAGGAACATACACATTTATAATGGTTATCGACAGCCATTGTTATGTGCATCGATGAATCGAATTAGATACTTTATTTTGACCAATAGAATCAAACATTCTTCAGTGTCATGGTAGAATTAATCATGTGTTCTATGGAATAAAGTCTTGATCTGATTCTAGACATACATGTACATGTAACTACGAGTGACAGTGGAAGCAACATTGCATTAATCACTGAATGTTTACAGTCGCTTTGTTGTAATAACGTGCCACCTACTTATCTGACATGTGTCCCCTGTGTATCCACCGGTAGCGGTACAGTCGCATTCGGCTGGAGATTCGGTGGTGTCACAAGTGCCGCCATGCAAGCATTCCTTACCACCGGCTGTGCATTTAGCTGGTGGGGGATCTGAAATATATTTACGTCACATAAATGATCAGCTGTAGACTCCATCTAGACATGTTTGGTATCGTTCTATAGCATAATGTGTTAGTCCCATTCTAAACATACATATATAGTGACAGCAACAAAACATTTGAAACAGGATATACATTCATGAACTCTAGATAAAATATCTGTTTTTACAATTAGTGATGGATATATTTGAAACCATATTCGGTTAATCACTGAATGTTTACAGTCGCTGTGTTGTAATAACGTGCCAACTACCTATCTGACATGTGTCCCCTGTGTATCCACCGGTAGCGGTACAGTCGCATTCGGCTGGAGATTCGGTGGTGTCACAAGTGCCGCCATGCAAGCATTCATTTCCACTGTCTTTGCATACATCCGCTGCGGAAACTGAAATAATAATTATATTGAATGAAATATCCTGTGATTTTGTAACTTTTGTTTGTTATTGTTTTTTTATATTTTGAAACAAATGGATAATTGGTCTTATACAGACATACATCAAGTCATGACAGGTTGTGGCATATGAACTATATACTGTTTATGTTCATTGCATTGTATTGTGTCAGTGATTAGTCAACAGGAATGTACTATTTAAGGTAGGCAGTCGTCTGGAAGTTACTATATTTAGATGCTAGAGTGGCGTGGTAACTTCCGGAAAAATACAGTGATATCACTGGAATCACCAATTGATGGAAACAAAACCTGATCGAAATTAATTGTAAAAATAACTGCAATCACATGGAGAGAAGAATATAATATGTACTTACCTGTGGCAAACAGGAACACTGTAAAGCAGATAATGGCAAGTTGAAGTTCAGAATGTATAATCATACATTAACACCAAATATGTTCAGACACATACATAATTTACACACAAAACAGAAGATTGTATAATCAACGCTGCACCCAATTGTAAAGTGGAGTTTCTAAATAATGTAAAACATAACTGGACCTTAGTTCGTACGATCCAGTCGTAATATAGGTTTAGAACATTATTTGCTACTTACGCATTAAAAGCCGAAAGACAGAACAATTCAGCATGGTGCCAGGTCTCGGGTTGCTTTTTCTTGTGTTCAGTCAACACACTCGAGTCAACACACAAACAGCTCTGGGCTTCTCTAGCTTTTATATCGTCTGTTACCATAGTGCACAATGTTAACAGTGGCACAGATAAGACCAACTTAGCGACCCCTGATAAGGAGATAACTCACTTTAAACAAGTGCAAAAGTGGGCGTGGCTAACTAATACCCCCGACCCGCCTAGTGTGTCAATAGTTACAAATTAAAAAGAATTCATTTAAAAAAATGGAAAATTAATAAAAACATTTTTTTTCTTTTGACTGCACCCCTCCATATGACACAGATTATACGTACTAAGTTTGAGATGAATCCCCTGAATAGTTTAAAAGAAATCGCGCGGACAAAGTTTTCGGACGGACGGGCGGACGGAACCTTGGTAGTACTATATACCCCCGACATTTTTGTCGGGGGCATAAAAATCGAATCTAGTGTCAAGTATATTTTGGACATAAAATTACATTTGCAAATAAATGAGTCAAACGAATCTCACTGACTTTGTATCAGATTAAACAAACTGTCTGAAGTACAAGGACAACCTTGTCCGCATACTACAAGCTATACCGATCTCAATAAAATCGTTATTTACAGTGAATACTGCAGCAGTGTGGTTTAATTTAAGTTTCAGGTATATCGCTGATCTGATATCATTAAAAAATCCATTCCGCTGATTTACGCACGTGAACTAGTAATAAAAGAGTTCACTGAAAGCGCATCATTATATTTTGATATATGCCTGAAGATTCAGGGTGACAAAAGACTTTTCACAAGACTATGACAGGATGACTTCAACGTTCCCTTTATGTCAAGCAATATTCCAGCAGTTCAAGCCTTTGTCGTCTACATTTCACTTCTAAGAACTTCTAAGAAGAATGCCATACGACTCTTGCGCAAACGTTGTTTGAACAATCAAGACCTTGGTAAAGCTTTCAAGAAGTTAAGGTGAACAAGAGGAGAACGTTTCCAATTCCAATCAGTGATCACAATGATGACCGATGCAATTCCCTATTTTGGCTTATACTGTTATTCCCGTGCCTTTTCAGGTGAACAATTGACACGCATTTGTATGTGTTTGTAATGGGTGCTTCAAGTAGAGTACAAAACGCTCACCTTTCATGAAAACGTCCAATGGACTCTTCTTTTAGCAGAGATTTCATATGATTGTCATTGTGAGTGAGTTAAAAGTTTTAGTCACATCAGCAATATGTCAGTTATATCGTGACTATCAAGGGTTAAACATTATAAATGCAATGGGACTTATATATAAAAAAAACTGCCAACGAAGGACAGTAATATAACCAGTGTTCGAAATACCTGCCTGCCCGACCGTCCGAGACGGGTTGATTTCAACTCGGGCTGCCAGATTTTCAAATCCCCCTGCCCGACGGTCTGGTTATATTTCATATGTGAAAATATTCAAAATATTTCCCGATGATAAGCATCAATTCACATGTAAAGATGAATGATAAAATGTAACCAAAAAGAAACCCCGTTAGCTTATCCTGAGAAACATATGATTATAGTGGGCAGGCAGGTTTTGGTCAGGGCTGGCAAGTATTTCGATAGCCAGTCCTGTGGTCTGGCTGAAATTTTTGGCAGTTTCATACCCTGATATAACTAAACTTATCACAAAAAAATATTTAAAACTAGTATGGAATCATCAAATGGATAGTATTAGCCATAACATCACATTATAAGAATTGGCTATAGATCGCCAGCAACTGAAGGTACATCACCATACAAGTGATCATGGGGACTTACAGTACTTTAGCTTACTGCATGGACGTCAGAGAGAACAATTAACACACCTTTCATGTAGGGCAGACTTTGGATGACAGCTAGTTGGCACAGTAAAACTGTGGATCATTCTCTGTGTATAACGTGGGATGACATCGACAGAAGCTACGTCATCCGTCAACCGCCACCCAGACGTTTCAGAAAACTGTTACTCGCATTGCAGAACGCACGGGCAAGGATTTCACAAGCTCGAAATCAAATCCATGTCGATAAGATGCAGAGCAGTTTTAGGGGCACATGGTGGTCAAAACAGGCACTGAGAACAACGCCCTTTTGTGAACTGATGTCATCGCTGATTGAACATTATTATGATCACTGACATTCAACCTTTCTTTTGGTGTAATTGGCTGCACATGATGTTGTATTCAATGGATTTCCCTACTTTAAACACAACAGATTAAATATGTGAAAATTCACATCTTCACTTTCCTATTTTGGAGAGTATATATTCTGTCATGAGCACTACCCTTGACGCTTTCACTCACGTTAATTTGCATGGACACGACCCTACATATCATCCATGAACGAGAGAACGTCTGTGGGAAATTACTGAAAGTTGGTGAATGTGGAATTTATTTGTAACTCATCATTATGGTTTCATCGTTATTCTCTGATGTTCGAATTATTCCAGCTTGCCCATGGTGGCCTGTACATGATACCAGTTGTGGATCAAAGATCTTCGCCGTAGAATCAGTTACAAATACCCACCGAAACAGATTGTATTGGGTGTAAAATGGATAATAGTGATGAAAATGATAAAAATCGAACACTGAGACTCACTATTGATGGATGTTCAGCGGAAAAAACGTAAATGCTGATTCGATGTTGAACCATATAGCTCTCCATCTGCAACTTTGCGTGCTGACCGTCGATGTTATGTACATCATCAATGACCAGTGTCAAGATTCAAGAGTAGACCACAATAACTAAATCACCCCCCTGCATCAACCAAGTCAGCGAGTCTGACCACCCGATCCCGTTAGTCACCTCTTACTCGTGTAGACAATGATATAATTCTTACAGAGCGAATGAGGCATCGCGTTCGTTTAGTTGGTTGGTTTGTTGTTTAACGCCGCACTCAGCAATAGTCCAGCTATGTGACGGCTGTCTGTAAATAATCGAGTCTGGGCCAGACAATCCTGAGATTAATGTCATGAGCTTCGATCCACGCAATCAACCAAGTCAGCAAGCCTGACCACCCGATCCCGTTAGTCGCCTCTTACGACAAGCATAGCCGCCTTTTACGGCAAGCATAGGGTTGCTGAAGACCTATTCTACCCCGGATCTATAAGCACAGGTGTGTCTTATAAGCACAGGTGTGGGAACTGATACCCAGACTGTCCTCGCATAAAATCTTCGCAATGTATATTTCCAATGTTGCCTGTACACTTGCAAAAAGCATCAGCTACGCTCATGACTTTCGGTATCTTAGACTATTATTTTGACAATGATGACCATTATCTAAGATAAAAGCTATATATAAGGTCTGCGTATGATATGCAAGCGGGGAAAAGGACATAAACACCTTCACGGACACAACCCATCTAGGTCTCATATGGGCTATACATGTATGCCAACTCAGGACCGTGCTGATCAGGAATCCCTTGCACAAATCCGAACGGGGCTCAAAAAGGCTATCCATCCCAATTGCGTGGATCGATGCTCATGATGTCAATCACTGGATTGTCTGTTCCAGAGTCGATTTTACAGACCGCCGTCATATAGCTGGAATATTGCTGAGTGCGGCGTAAAACAACAAATCAACCAACCAACCATTAGGACCCATTACGCAGCCCACATTAACTCAAAGTGGGGCCCATGTGTAAATGCTAGTAGGGACGGAAGGTTACACTGCAAACACGAAAACGTCGTTTTTTTCCGTATATGGTCATTGGACGGAAAAACGACGTTATTTGGACGTTTTCAAACCATCGTTTTTCCGTCCAAATAACGTCGTTTTTTGACATCGGAATTTACTGGGAGAGAACGATAGCGTTAAGCTCCTCCCTTTCTTGATTGACATTGTCAATCAAGCAACAGCGTCTACCGGTATTTCTACTTCTCAGTTTTCATTGGTCAGTCCCCGCGTGTTAGATTACAGGCCCGCGTTTGACGCTGCACTCGAGGCGCTTAGCGGAAGTACTGTAATCAATCGTTCTGCGCATGCGGATTACTTAATGCCTTGACCAAATTTTCCGTTCTGTGCATGCGCGATTTCGCGTATTGTTTCCTAGATTTAATGTCACCACTATTTGACAATGGTTCATAAACACAGTCACGTGAAGGTTCGGAATCGTAACGAGTAACTCCATTTAAATTGAAGAGTATCCCCAGTGATATGGGAGATTCCAAGATGAAACTATTCTATGGCTATCTAGGCTGCCACCCAAACCGATCTAAACGGGACCCGATAGCTTATTGTTTGCTATATAGTCATATGGCAGTGGACAAGAACTATACATTGTATTCCGGCCGATTTTTCTTGCATTTACTTATAAGTCAGGAAAATGGACTTAAAAGGGGAGTTGTTGAATGTAATAATTTTAATTATTAAATGTTGCCTATACACTAATCTGGACGAACTTCTCATTGTTCTGTTTATGTCATCCTATATACTATTAGTATGTTACCGTTCTAAAGTCATCCTCTCACATAACATTATATTGTTCATAGTATCAAACTTTAATCAACAATATCAAGAGCAGCGATTTAAACCACTGAAACACCCAAACACAAGGCTGTTATCAAGCGCTAGTGCAGACGTGATGCATCGTAAAAAACTATCTTGATGTCTTCAGAAATACAATTATACTACGAGATAGTACGGCTAACGCTGACTCACCGGTGGAACAAAGACAATATCGCTAATACAGATATAACGTATTTGAATGTTAATACTAAGGACAAACAATCATTATTTTTGCAGTGACGATATAACACGTATACACGTTTATTGTTAGCTTTCATCACTTTTGCTCTTCATTTTAATAACTTTGTTTTCACATATATATGTAGCAATACCCGACAAGCATGTCATACATAATTATGGGGCAGTTTTCAATCGTGTACTGACTTACTTTGGTGTTAATGAGCGATGTTTATTGGCTTGTGTGTAAAACCCCGTTTTTCTGGTAATCCTATTATAACTTAGTTTATTTCTATCTAATGACACCCTGTACTCTGGATCATGGCTCCGTGACTATCCATAACAATTAAGATGAACATTCAGTTAAAAAAACCCAATGCTGTGAGGTT